AAATCGTAAATCGTTTAGAGTTCAAGTTATATATATATATATATATATATAGAGAGAGAGAGAGAGAGAGAGAGAGAGAGAGAGAAAGAGAGAGAGAGAGAGGCGGGTTAGTTTACAAATTGTCTGATTCATGAAAACTATGCAAATCACTCTCGACCAATAGAAAATTTCCGTTTTTTATTTTTTAATTTTAATAAATAAGGGTATAATTGTCATTTTTACTGTATAATGGTTAATATTGAAAATGATTTAATTATTTTCAAATATGGAAACGTAAATATAGAAACTGTTTATATGGAAGGTGTAAATCAATTGTTTTTAAATATAATATTGGAAATAATTTAATTATTTTTAAATATTGAAACGTAAATATATAAACCGTTTATATGAAATGTGTAAATCAATTGTTTTTAAATATAAAACGGTGAAACAGTGAAATAGTTGCATACAATAAAGATGACAGATTAATACAGTTTCATAATGTGAAACAGATTCATACAGTGAACCAGATTCACACATGTGAATAAATAATGTGAAACAGATACATACAATGAAGAAATACATGTTCATCTAGTTAAGAAATACAGATTAATACAGTTAACCAGATTCATACAGTAATGAAATAATGTTTTTCGTACAGTGAAATAGTTACTTACAGGGATGAAATACAGTTTTATACAGTGAAATAGTTGCATACAGTGAAAATGACAGTGATGAAATACATTTTCATACAGTGAAACAGATTCATATGGGTGATTTGTCAATTTTGCCCTTTTTAATTAATTTTTTTAATTTTCTAATATAACACTATTTAATTTGATCATTGATCAAGAAAATAGATGGATGAGATTGGTTTGTAAGATTTTCACAAATAAGGATGTTTGCAATTGATCGCTATCTCTCTCTATATATAAATGGGTATGTGTTTGTGCATCATTTGAAGACATAGACCTTCCGCTCACATGACTTGTGGTAGCAATTATAATTAGAGCATCTTCAACACGTATGCTATATATTTTTCATCTCTTTTTTAAATTTGGAAATTTTTTTAAATCATGTCAACAAAGTGTTTGGCGAAATGTCTCTTCTAATATCTCTATTTTCAGTACCAAAGTAGACATTGTTGTGAAACAACCTGCCACCGTTTTCTTGGATGGGATTGTAGTGTTTCATATCATTAGACAAGCATTTCATATCGTGGATTGAGTTCTGACGAGAAACATAATTAATTATAGTTATCAACACTTTTTTTTTCTCCCTTGATTATCACCCCATATTTTACATTATTATTTTTAGTTTATAGTTAGTCTTTTTAAGAACTTTGAAAAATATATAAATAATTGATCGAAACAAGGAGTTGATTCATTGGTTGAAAATTGAATCAAAATATTTAATAAATCCAATTCAATCTAAGGAATAACCAATGACAATTAGGGGTACTCATGGGTTAGGTTGATCGAGTTGAAGGCATTTGAACAACTCAACCCAATGCTTGTGATTTGAAAAATCTTAACTCAACCCAACCCGAACCAAAGTACAACCCATACGAGTTGGTCAGGTTGATACTTTGATACATTAAAATATCGTTCTAATCTATAATATGTTATTTTTCTACTCATAATTTCTTTTTCATTATCAACCATTTGATACAACTTATTCATACTTCTTACGTATATCACATTCAATTAATTTTCTCAATTTACATATATATATATATATATATTCACATTTAATGAACATATATACGAATGAGTTATATAAAGATGTAAATAGATTGAAAATATGTGTATGTGAAGAACATACATGATAGTGTAATTGTTGAATGTACATATTAATAGAAATTCAACAATCATATTAAATCCAAGAAATAAAAGGATATCGGGTTCATCGGGTTGAATTCAAATAATAGTAATCCAATATCAACCAAATACCTACGATTTGACAATTTTACAACTCGATTAGACATCGGGTTGAGTAATTTCGTGTTGTGTTGGGTTGGGTCGATCGGGTTTTTAAACACCCCTAATGACAATATCCAATAGATGGAACCAACCCCAACCATTCATTGAATTGGAGTTGTCTTTTGTTAATTGGTTTGGATCGAATTGCAAAATCAAACATCCAACAAATGATTAGATCGTATCATATCCACTTAAATCCATTGGTATGGATCCTACTTTCAGGCTGATATAACCATAATATATCGGATCCATCATAGATACACAACTTTCCTTACATACTACAACTATACAAACTCGATGCAAAACATACATATCTAATAAACCAACAACAACAAAAAAAAAACTCTGACAAAAACATACACCATTTGGCTGTATATATATATATATATATATATATATATAATTGACTAATATAAACCATATAACATATTTGTGAAACTCACATTCTAACCTGCTGCACACCACTCCTTGGTGCTTCTTGTTGAAAGTTATCCAGCAACGCCATACGCCCATCCACCACAACTTTGAAGAAACGATCCATTTCTGATTTCAGCTCATCCAACCCAACCAGAAACTTCTCATTATTTTCCTTCAATTCCAAACAATAACTCTCGAAATCTTCCTGTTTAATATCACCCAACCCATCGTGAAGCAACGGGTATAGTTTCTTAACGTTTTGGTCGATTGTTCGAAGCTCTTTCAATGGGAATATCCTCCCGCAAGCATGAATGTTTTTTATTTCACCGTTCATCACATCCTGCAAATCTGTAAACGATTCTTGCCACAAGTATTGTTTGTGAACCTGCAAATCGAAAAGACTCCTAGGGGAAGCTGAAAATGCAGCCACGAATGTGCTAAAAATGAAAATGGTCTGAACCTTGAGTCCATACATGGCTCGGACCAAGTCCTTGGCTTTGGGTATGTTCTTGATCTTTGGCAAGTTTAGGGTTTCCTCGAGCTTGCATATAATGTCGGAACAATCCTCTAGCTTTGAGTTGTCATAACGGCTCTGATATTGCCTCCATTCATGAAGAGAAGACGATGCTTGCAAGAACTTTTGTGGGTTATCGGAATCTAAATCGAGTAGTGCACATTTCAGCATAACGTACCCAAATCTTTGCCTCACAATATCAGTTCCATACGCGCTGCAAAAATCAAGCAATTTCAAGCTGTTATCTAGGTACATATCAACCCATTTAATATCCCAGCTGCATATCGGGAGTTCCAAATCCACAATGAGCTTTCTTATATCGTCAAGAGTCTCACATATGGAACTCGATGCCAATTTCATCCATGCAAAACTAATGACATCATTTGCATGATTTGGCTTCAATTGGCGGAATCTTTCAGCTAAATTTTTCTCGAACACACTTAGCACCCTTGATGGTAGATGAGAGCTTTTGGGCATCATCATCTTAAAGGGATTCCCAATTGGGAGGAACGGACGGTGAGGCCCCTCTGAGCGACTCATAGTTGATGTAGCTGCAAAATCCAAAATTTGCACAATATCTCAAATAGTGACTTTGCACAAAATGCACAAATATCTAGCCAGTGAGCGAAAAGGAGACCCCGGTGCACCAAGGCTCTTACGTCTTTAGCTTTCCAAGGGCTGGGGAGAGAAGCCTTTGTATGCAGTCTCTCCCTTGCAATTTCTGTGGAGGCTGTTTCCATGACTCGAACCCGTGACAGAAAAGGTCACAAAGGAGTAACCTCACCGGTTGCTCCAAGGTTCAGCCTGAAAGGATTGATAATCACACACACATTCACAACAGCAGGAAATGAGAGAACACCCATGGTAGTTATATCCTTCAACAATTGACCATATTCATGGATGTTTCTGAGATTTTGTCATATTCTTCGTGAATTCTATTGTAATACAGAAAATGGAAAGTTGGCAACATTTGGTGTATGCGGGACAGGACAGGATAGGACAAAAGAAAAACTTATTGTCCCATGTTTATTTCGACATTAAGACTTGGATAGGACTGAGTGGGACAAAACCGAAATAGGTGGAACAAAAGTCTGCAAGACAGGACAAGATTGGTAAATTATTAAACTACTTGTGTCAAATTAAAACCCTAAAACCTTGCACAATTCTTTCACCTACCTGCCTTACTCTCGCCACTCCTCCTATCCAGTCCTGTTTGTGTACCATACGCACCGTCTTTAGGCCAATATAATATGGATAAGATAGGAATACTGTCATGACTGAAATCTAACCAGTCTACAATTTGAAATTAGCCTCCATACCCATCCACCCCCTACCCAGTAAAGAAGAAGCGATGATGATCATGTTCTTTCTCACCATCATGGTAATAGATAACTAGAGAAGCCAACACCATTTCCCTCTTTGAAACGACGACAAAGAAGGGGAGTAGATCCTCATATCGTCAATACTTACCACACAAAATATTCAACAACTATCACCCAAATCTTCTATGAAATAGTTGCAGCATGTGCATAAACATGTTTTAGAAAGAGCAAATTTGGTAAGTGCTACTGAAATTTTGTGTAGTGACCCGGTCGATCCCTGCTAATCTTGTTGATAGTGGCGACCTTCAAATTAGCGTACTCATAATCTCTGTTATGATCAAAATTAATTAAGATCTTCGAGTTTTGCAAACAAAATTGTTGGAAATTGACTCTACCCATATAAACACATAAAAATTGTTGTTGCAGATTTGCTGCCTCTACCCATAATCATATTCAAATTGTTGCAGATCGTTGTCTGTAGGCCCAATACTCTGTAATTAGAAGGTTCACCGTGAATCTAAAGTGATGAACTATGAATGTAAGGAAAATCCCCAATTACAAGGGGTTCATTTATGTTTTTGAAACCGGTACAATTATATTCCTATCATTTTCTGCGGCAATCCTCTAAAGTCAATTTTTTAGGTTTAGACCCTAAATTTATTCAAGATTGTAATTATAGTCATTTGGTTTCGAAATCCAAATCGTAGACGGAACCACCAAAATATAAAGATGACCAAAATTAAAGAAAACTCGTAGCAGAATTTTCATCAAATCAAACGCCAGGCAGGATCGAAATTCAAACAGAAAAATTCGTCAAAAGGGGGATAAAATTGAGAGAAACTTACCGACAACGATCGTGAACGGGTAAAGAAGAAATTCAAGAGATGATCACCGAATTTGAGCTACACTTAATCTGTACCAAAATCTGAAAACACGAAATCCGGCATCAACATAAAGAATCGAACAACGTTGACTAATCATATGAAACAACTATTTCAATCAAAAAAACACCCAATTTCGTTGAAAATTGATGAAAGAAACGTAAAATTCAGACAGCAACAACAATCACAGAAATTATGTGAGGTTTTGAAGTGCAAAGTAACCCAAAATTCGATCTGTTCAAGGAATAGACATGGGAAGAGATAGGGGGGCGGAGAGGAACCTACCTGATGAGATAATGTTCTATCACTTTGACCTAAACGTGAACCAATGAATACTTCAAAGTCTTCAGCGGCTCACCACAACTTGAATATTTCCGTGGTAGGTATCAAATTTTTAGGGTAAACAATTGTTATATATATATATATATATATATATATATATATATATATATATATATATATATATACAAAGAGAGAGAGACTTGGGATCATGTGAGACTAATGATTTTTTGTGAGACCCGTAAGACCAATTCTCAATCTTTGGATTAGATTTACAATTGTCAGATCTGAACATTAATAAACGCTACGAGACTTCTCAATAATTATAAAATTGTCACCGTGCACCTTTCGACCATTGGATCATTAACTTATAAAGTTGATCAATGAATATAAATTGGTCTTACGGGTCTCACGAAAAACCTTTGGTCTCACGTGAACCCAACCCTATATATATATATATATATATATATATATAGGGAAGGGTTCAAACGAGAACCCTTGTGATTTACGAGAATGTGAAAACAACCCAATAACCTCATATTGTGATAAAAAATAAAATTAAAAGATTTTTAAAATTAAAATTGAAATTTAAAAAGATTCAAAAATATTAAAAATAAAAGGGTAATAATGGAAATGATATCATAAAATCTTTTAACACGATTACATACGATCATGATTATCATTATCTAATAAACGGTTAATCTTGTGATATGAGTATGATAATCATGTGATTATCACACAATTATCACATTATCGCTTATATCAACACGATTTGAGTGTGATATAGGTGTAATAATCATGTGTTATGGGTGTGATAATCATGTGATTATCACATTATCGCTTATATCAACACGATTTGGTGTGATAATCATCAAGGATTCCGCTCGGCTAGGGCTAACTTAGAAAATCGACTACCGATTTGATGTGATATGAGTGTGATAATCATGTGATATCACTATCATAACAGCGCACTTGATTTGATCATAGTTTCGATCGGTTAGGGTTAGACAATCACACATTTATCACAACAATTACTAATGGTTTCGATAGGTTAAAATTAGACAATCACACATTTATCACAACGATTACAAGCAACATCCACTAAACGATTTGGTGTGATATGAGTGTGATAATCATGTGATATCACTATTATAACATCACTTGCGCACTTAATTTGATCATGGTTTCGATCGGTTAGGGTTAGACAATCACACATTTATCACAACGATTACTCATGGTTTCGATAGGTTATGGTTACACTTGACTGATCATGGTTTTCTATAGGTTATGGTTACACAATCACACAATTATCACAAGGGGAAAGAAGATAGTGGAAACGAACGTGCAAGAAAAAAAGGGATAATTATGACTAATTAAAATAAAATAAAAATTATAAAAAGTACTTAATTACATTACTGCCCTTATTAATTTATTTATATTTAATATAAGTTAATTTATTAATTAAAAAAGTTTGAGGTTATTAGGTTGTTCTCACATTCTCGTAAATCACAGGGGTTCTCGTTTGAACCTCCACCTATATATATATATATATATATATATATATACACACACGGGCTCATTCAAGGGAGAACTGTTAGTTTGTGGTAACCGTGAGATCCAATCTCAACCACAAATCAATAGATAAATTAAGAAATTTATAGTTTTGGTAATTTTTAATTAAAATTTTAATGCAATGACATTTTAGGTATTTTTTTCTCCTTTCTCCTCTCTTCTCTCTTCGTCCCCGTCTTCCTGCCTCCGGCCACCGGTGATACCACAGTGTGATACTCAAGCACATATAAGATGCATTGTGATACCACTGTGTTACATATCTGATCGACCACACAAACGACCACGGTGTGATACCCAATCACATATATGATGCATTGTGATACCACTGTGGTATCACCAGAGGATGGTAGCTGGAGATCGGTGGTCGGAGGCCGGGGGACGGAGAGAGAAGAGAGGAGATATGAGAGATGAGAGAAAATACCTAAAATAACCTTGCATTAAAATTTTAATTAAAAATTACCAAAACTAAAAATTTCCTAATTTATCTATTGATTTGTGGTTGAGATTGGACCTCACGGTTACCACAAACTAATTAGTTCTCATTTGATTAGGCCACTATATATATATATATATATATATACATACATACATACATACAACGTTTCAAATACAACTAATTACATTTATATAAATAATGCAATTTAATTAATTGAGATATTTATAAAAATGATTGAGAGATCATTTATTATGATTTAAATATTTATATAAGATGATTATGGTTCATTAATTATGATCAATATTTTATATTAGAAAACAATCAAAACTTTTATGAAATCACATATTTATCAAATTAAATGAACGGTTGAGATTAAGTTGTATTGGTTGTACAAATGTAAAGGGTCGTATAATAACTCATATATATATATATATATATATATAGAGAGAGAGAGAGAGAGAGAGAGAGAGAGAGAGGGGAAGGTAAGACCTTTTGTTAACCAATAATATGGTGTTAATTTTGTGAACTTATTGGATCAATAAGATTCATTATTTAGTATATGTTACTTCAATTTTTTTATTTAATGATGAAGGGCAAATAGATAATTTTTATGTGTAAGTTACTTTTATGGTATTTAATGAGATGATATAAATTTTAACGTGTAAGCTATTTTTATGGTATTTAATGATATTTATAGGTGTTCATAACTATAAGGTATTCATAAGAATGTGTTTATATGTGTTCATAGAAATGTGTCCATAACCATAAGGCATTCATAAGATTGTGTTCATAATCATATGGTGTTCATAGGTGTTTATAGACCAATCAAAAAGCCTTTTTACTTGATGTTCATATCTCTCTATGCGGTTAATGTTGAGGGTATGTTAGTTATTTTCCTTTTTTGTCTTGATTGAAACATATTTAATTGACGATTACAAAAGAATTCATGTTCCATGATTTTAGCCGTTTTTCTCTTTGGTCTTGATTGAAACATATTTAATTGACTGTTACAACTAAGCAATTTCATAAAAACATGTTTTCATAACAATATAATGAAATAATGCATGTGTTCATGAATGAACCATAATATGTTCATAGTTGTAAATTGTGCATAAAGAAATCATTTATTGGTGTTGACGCAATGATTAATGTTTAGTATGGACTTTAACCACAACAATATTAATTGAGGTGTTCACTGATGAACAATAGCTCATCATCTCTATCAAAAGTAATGTATTTATTGGTGTACCTTGAATACATTTATTAAAAACAATGAACAATGAGTACGTATGAACCATGAATATTTGTTCACTCATGAACGGTCTTTCAAACATGAATTGACATAAGGATGTTCATAAAAACCTGTTGATATAACACTTATATGAGTTTAAGCATGTTTCATGAGTAAACAAGTTGAATCTTGTAGCATTAATTTTTTTTTCAAAATACCCATTGCAAACATTGTTTACTTATGTTACCTTACTTCTTTGTGTAATTAATTAAATTTTATGTCATGAATAATCTCAACCATAAATTTCAAAGATCAATGGATGAAATAGGTTTACAAAGTTAACCCAATATATTAGGTTAACAAATAAACTCATCCTCATATATATATATATATATATATATATATATATATATA